TAGAGTTACTTTTTTCTTTTTTCGTTTGTTTGCGCATGTGTCTGAAAGCCTACGTGCGCCATTTGAACTAAATACACTTGTCACACTATTTTATTCGGATTTAAATAGCGCATATTTGTTGTGAATAATCAGTCAGCCGTGACCAATAATGACCATAGAACAGTAAATGGCCCGACGTTGGTTCGTTTTAAACAACAATTACACGCGATTTAGACCCGAAAATGAAATAGTTTCATTTCCCATGTGTAACAATCACGAAAATCAGCTACTTTGCTTCGCTATTTGCAGGCGCGCCTCGTCGACTCTTTTAGCGATGTTCTACTTTGTATTTTAAAATTAAATGCACCTTTCAATTACTAGCCTTTGATGAAAAAGGAAACTGCGTATTGAAGCCGGTGGAGACTTAGGAAAACAAGATCAACTTAAAAAAAAAACTAAATTTAATGAAACGTATAATTTGTCTTTTGTAATAAGAATACACTGTATAGAATTAGCGAACTTGACCGTTTTTTTCAAATATATTTCAATTTTGTTTTTATGCTTGAATGAAGTGGTCCCAGCCAGAATTGTTTTGAACAGCGGCAAATTACAAATTAAAAGTTTATTTTAACGATCTTGTAACAGATCGCATAACGTACTCAATTCTCTAAATATTTTCTGCCTAAAAATTATTATTTCACCGTTGTTTGCCTGGCGCACACTTAAGAATAATCATCAGGACCTTTACCAGTAACATTAGACGAGCTGCTTGTTAGTTGCCAGCCTTTGAAATTCCCGTTAACACGCTTTTTGAAGAACCCCATGTCACAACGTAAAGGAAATCTTTAGGAGGAAGACGCGCGACCTGTTTCCTGGCTCGTATCTAGTTTGTACGTTACACAATTAATACCTATAATGTTAATTAGGCTATGGTTACAAAAAATCCGCTTCCTTTAAATTGAGCCTTATACAGGTTGTTTCAAAAGAGTGAAGAACAACGTTAAAATATCATTCTACTCCCAAGTTGTAACAATCAACTTTTGTTCTGCAGTTTTGGAAATGCTAGTTTCCATACAATGAAACAAATATAAATATGATCGGATGTTTGTATGAAAGGATATCTATCGTAAGAATGCTGTAGGAATTTTGAAAAGTTGTAGAACAAAACTTGTTTGTGTTTATGAGCACAATGAAACTCGAAAATATAATAATAAGCTTAGAAAAGACCTTATATTGAAAATGAAACCATTTTTTTCGGATCTTATCCCATCGGTGCATCGAGTATATAACCAGAAATAGAGACGAAATAAGGGTTATCCATCCCTGGCAACTGATCAGGCAAGTGGCTAAAGTCACTTTTAAATATCAAATCGCGTTTGCGCTGAAATCACAAATTAGGAAGCTGGAATAGTACAACGCCAACAACTGACCTGTATGTACGTCTGCGTATATTCAAAAAATAAGATATTTATAATATATATAAAGATATTTATTGCAATAAACATAATATCTCTAACAATGGGAGACTGTTCCATTCGGTGGTGTGGGAAAAGTAGCAAAACATCTAATTGCAAAACAAACCGAAACACATTTCATCGGTAATTAAATATTAAACACGTAATTTTTCAATTTTCATCCATTATAGCAAAGCTCAAGTTACACTAGTCGATATGAAGTGAAACAATTGACGACACCAGCCAATTGTTTTTAATTCGGGCTGGCCAATCAAAGCGCAGTTGTCATCGTAATGATTTGGCAGAATAATTTTCAAACTAATTAAATGACATTTCGTCTCTACTTCTAGTTATATACTCGATGTATCGGTGACATATACTGTAATGCGCATGAAATCGCGATCGTGGTGGAAGAATTTGCCAATCGGTGTAAGATACTTGCCGATTGTTGCCCAAAGTGCGCCAGACGTACAGGAAGAGTAGCAGTTAAGCTCCTTGTGAAAGAGTTCATCCAGGCAAGTACTGCCACCTTACCTATTTCTGCCGCCAAGCAGTAATATCAGCATCACTGTTTTGAAGGGTAAGGGTGCTGGTGAAATTACAGGCACATGAGACTTGTCAACTTATGTCTCAGGGTGACGGGCGCAGTGACAGTGCCCCTTAGGTCCTTTCGTGCACTCCAATTTATGGATCTGAAATCGCTTTTTGTTTTTTCAAACAAACCATCCGATCAGGTGCTTTACAGAGCCCATGCGCACGTAGTCTGTATATGTATAGATATGTCCTGTATTAGCTGTTTCATATGGAATTATCATCATCATTCTATTTAACAGCCAGGACTCTTGTCAGTGTAGCCTCCTCCACTCCTCACGGTTCATAACCAACTCCTTCACCTCTTTATATCTGTCCTTGATATTCTTTTTTACCTGTCTACTATACGCCATTCTTGGTCTTCCTCTCTTTCTTTTGCCGTCTATCTTCCCCTCAATTTACATTTTGAATTAAATCTGCGTCATACTCACACGCCCTAGTTCCACAGGAGGGGTAGGCATAGACCACAAAACGTCACTACTCTATCCTGATACAATTCTCGAGGCTCACATCAACTACCCTTTAATAACCCAATAAAAGCCCCACACCCCAATCTGCGTCAAAAACACAAAATGCAAATTAACAACTCAAAGTACCAATCTCTCATAGTCGACCATATTCCTCTCACGCCAATGTCAAACTGGACATTCCGAATGCACCAACATGATCGTGTCGTAACGAGGTTCATTGAACAACAGTGCCACTCGCGCTAACCTTGATCGGGGGGTGTTATGTCATGGATGAACCTTGGAAATAACGCGTGCGCGTATATTTTTTTCTGTTTCATACATTTCGCACCAAAACTTTTTATGCTGAATAGGATCATTGTAAAATTGTAAAATTTGACGTATACTTTATGCACATAATTTTTTTCATGTAGTACAGGGTCAAGAGCACGACAAGCTTAACATTTCAGATTTAAATCCAACTCTATGCCACTTACGATAAGAACGATCCAAAGTAAAAAGTGTCAAGTTTAACGTGCTCTTTACTGTACGTATTATTTTTACGACTTTCATGTGATAAAATAATTTTTAACCGACTTGAAAAAACGGAGGAGGTTCTCAATTCGACTGTATGTTTTTTTGTATGTATGTTGTGATAACTCCACCATTTGTAAACCGATTTCGATGATTCTTTTTTTTATTGGAAAAAGTGAACCTCAGTGTTAGTCTCATTTAAATTTGAAGAAAATATTCCACCTCTAAGTATGGCTAATTAGGAGATAAATCCGGTTTCGCACACTTTCCGGTAACCGATTTCAATAAAACTTGGCAAATAGATGTAATTCTACGAACTTTTGAGGTCGGAATTTTTAGTACTCTGTATTGAAATTATAGACGTATGATTGATCACGCATGGCTTTATTAGTTCCATGTGTATACCAACATGTGATATTACTAATAAAACAACATGTTACACCTTACACCTGGTTTAGTCTGCAAAGTACATGTGCGTGTTGATGAGGCGTGTGTGTGTGAAAAATGTGTGTCAGGATCGTAGCAAGTGGAAGGCCGTTATCACTGTTACTTGGCAAGTGACTAAATATATACAACACACCTACCAATATGTTTGCATCGCGCCGGCGCTAGCCCATGTACCACCGAATGCAATCAATACCCTGGCACCCTATAGTAGGCACGCGATCAAAGTGGAATACTTATTTTCCCTAGTGATAGAAAATTCAGGTGCCAATGGTGCGATTATAAATTATATTGGGAAGCAACACTTCGTGTGCTTGGCTTGCACCGCGAGAGATGGCAACTCAGGCTCTTTGGAGGCGTCGCGAGCACCATAAGTTAAAGTCGACACTGGTGTGTATGCCTACCCATGTTTAATCGGACAAAGAAAACTATACTTATTTTGTCACATGTCAACATCTATACAACCTGTGTTTTCACAGTAAACGAGTTATAAATTATTAACCAAATCTAAAATATCAAACTAAAAACACGCTTCAGTAAAGCCACTCAGTTACTGTTTTAAAAGAGGAAATATGCGTGTAAACATTGAACCGACACCTAGCCGTATTTCTCATCTTTTTGTGTTTGGATAATTCGCCAATTTGAACCAGCATTGAAGGCGATCAGCGCAGCCGTGAACTTCCATAAATAACAATAAGCAGTTATGTTTTTCTGCAATCACGCAGACTCCTATTGTGATGTACACGTTTAAACTGTGCGTTGCTTTATATTATAGCGACTTTGTGAATCGGCCTCTAACCACGGTCAGTGCAACCTGGCCGAAATTTCGGTATAATAAGCAGATGTGCAAATGGTGTACAAATACGTATTAAATCGATTTTATGGCGTTTAACCTCGTTTGGAAATTTTCTAAAAAAAAATTATTACTAGCATTGATACTGTATGCTAGGATTTCGTTCACAGCTAATTTATATTTTTCTAAGTATGCTCAAAGTAACGTAAAGATTTAACAATAATCTTCTTATCGTATCGATGCTCCTTTTATTTGAGTAGTTACTGCATTAAGTTTGAATAATTGACACCTTGACAGCGCAATCCGTGGCTGTGCTGAGATCTTCCCATGTACATGCTTTAAATGTAATATGGGTACAGGGCACACGAGCCAGTGCCGCATGGATTGGTTTAGGGCACCGCAGTCACATGGGGTCAGACTAACATTCCTAAATCACTATTTATTCATCTTATCTCTGCAACAACAACATAACTGGGTGCGAAGTCGATTCATGGACTTTCATACGTTTCCAGTTTTCAACATGAGTGAATTTATTGCCTAGCTGTATGCCACAACGAGGTTCTTTCCATGCACATCCACACGGCAATAATAATGTAACAGGACACCGCGCTTAAATTCGACTCCCTATGGTCTAAAGGACCAGTCAATCTTTGTTGCAACTACGCTGTGACATCACAACTTGCCATATTGTCATATAAATTAATAACTTTACTTCACTATCACTTATCTGCAGTTCTATAAAATATTCCTCTATTCCAGTGTTCGACGCGTCAGCAAAGCCTCCTTCCGGCATCCTAAGCGGCAATAGCAACCAATACGGTGACTACGACGAATGTCTGAGCATCGATGGGGCAGTCCGAGGCAAATATTGCCTCGCTTCGCTGCAAGTCAGTCTCTCTGGCGACAGGACTCTGGACCGCATTGACAATATGATTCACAGCGGACATTATATTAGAAGCAACTTTACCGATGTAAGTATACATTATAGAAAGAACCTTCCGCTCATATATTAAACTACGATTTACAGATTTAACTCGATATAGGTAATTGTTACAAATAACAATTCTTATTAAAAGTAACGACAAACTCAATTGGACATAAGTGTGGAATACTAGATCAGTTTATTTTACATTTCTATAATAAAAACACGGTATAATATGACAGTAGGTAATTGGACTTTAAGTACCAACTGCCTTTACTTGCTACAAGTACAATTTGGAGACGATGAGAAAGCTGAAACGCGGCGACATGATTTTATTATTTAGTGATGTGATTTAAAGCACTGAGTGGTATTGCAACTGTTGTGGACTGGCATCAAGTATATAACCAGAAATAGAGACGAAATAAGCGCCATCCATCTTTGGAATTTCATCAGGCAAATGGGCCTTATATCCCTTTTAAATATCAACTCTCGTCTGCACTGAAATCACAAATTAGACAGCTGAAATAGTACAGCGCCAACAACTGACCCGTGTGTACGTCTCCGTATATTCCAAAAATATTATTTATTTATTGTAATAAAGATAATATCGATAACTAAGAAGAGCTGTTCTATTCCATGGTTTGGGAAAAACAGTAACACATCTTATTACAAAACAAACGGAATCAGTTAAACTGGTCGATTAGAAGTGAAACAATTGACGACACTCGTCAATTGTTTCGAACTCAAGCTGGCCTATCGGAGCGCAGTTGTCACCGTAATGATTTGGCAGAATAGTTTTCAAATAAATTAAATGACATTTTGTCTCTATTTCTGGTTATATACTCGATGTGGACAGGTGTGTCACTTACCACCAGGGGGACTTGTTCGTCCCGTCACTTAATCTCAATAAAACAAAGTAGTTTGTCAAAGGAAGAATTCTTTCCTAACGTTCACGTCTTGCAAACGTTCCGGTTATTTTTACAAGTGCCACAACACGAATACGTATTATGGACATTTTAAAGAGATCACAACACGTTGTAGACTTTTTTTAGCTCTACGAGAGTTTTCGTTCTTTAAGCCTAACATATACAAGTAAACAGTATCCCAACGACAAGCATTTCGGCCTTATCAAGTTGTAGTTGCACTTTATCATTATCAAGTTGAAGATGTCCATTGTTAAAAGTCACAGTTACCTGTGGTCTTTAAAAGACTGTCGATCCAACTTTCTTGCATTATACTGCATTGCTTTTCCGCCTAAAATTCGTCGCTATAGAACCTTCAACCATGTTCAAACTGACCAGTTACGACGTTAAATTACAGAAAACGCTAACATATTAAGGCTGGAACATATACCAGATTGACGAATTAGGCTCTTTTTAAATTAAATTCCTGATAATAATAATAGTCCAATAATCACAAAAAGTATATATGATTGCTAGTAGTCCCTAAAGAATTGAATGTATTGAGCAAAACTACCGTTTATTAAGCTCTTTTAACGAAATAAAATTTACAGTTACGTCCTTCAAATTGAATAAAAAGCAATTTCTCTTTACATGCAAACATCCGTTGTTTATAAAATTTACACGAAAAAATAGATAATTTAATTTCAAACAGAATGTATTGTTCACTTTTTTTTAACTTATACATATAGTTCATAAGTTAAGTGTTGTTATTACTATGTGAAAAAAATAATTCCTTCCCACTCGCGAGGTCTGCGCAGTACTACGCTACGCTCAGTCGCCTTTCAGGCTTTGCGACGGGTGGATTGTACGTGTATTTTTGAGCGGGTTTATGCCACAAAAGTTGCTATTTTTAATTAATTTCACTTGTGTTTGTGTTAAATTTAATTTGTATATATATATTTGACTTTGTTTTTATATTTTACATTTTATAAATGAGTTATTTCGTTATATTTACATTGCATCTTTTTTAACAACTAACAAAGACTAGACAATATATACCTATATATGCCGAAATAAAAAATAAATCTATGGTGAAGTATGGAATTTGTACAATATACATGCAAATAATATGGCACTGGATGAGAAGTTTTAGGCGTTCTGGAAGAAGGAGTGAATTCCGTTGCCCTTGGTCTAAGGTTTGATTTTCGATACAACATATTTTTTAAATGAACTTCCTGAACTTAGGTCTGGTCTGGATTTCTGGTAATACCTATGCTTGGATTCAGTTTCTCTGGCACTCATAAGGAGCACAAGGAGTTCCCTAGTTTGAGACCAGGTGGTGAGCAACAGAACAGACAAAGTACATTTCCCAAATTGATTCTACCAAGAAATGAACGCGGGACCAAGAGTTACGGCATACACTCCGCGGCACTACCCAGAACACCTAGGCCAAAACCATTTTAAAAAAGTTCATTTCCCAAATTGGTTCTACCGGGATCGAACCCGGGACCAAGTGTTACGGAATACATTCCGCGCCACTACCCAGAATACCTAGGCCAAAACCATTTCAAAAATGTTCATTTCCCAAATTGGTTCTACCGGGAATTGAACCCGAGACCAAGAGTTACGGAATACACTTCGAGGCACTACTCAGAACACCTAGGCCAAAACCATTTTAGAAAATTTCATTTCCGAAGCTGGTTCTACCGGAAATCAAACCCAGGACCAATAGAATACCTAGGCCAAAACCATTTTAGAAAAGTTCATTTCCTTAATTGGTACTACCGGTAAACTACACTGTAAAATCTACAAATCGCTAAACACAACCACACACACAGCATATTCCCGTGAGAAGAAATATTCACTTTATTTAACACATTTGAAGATCTGTGTTGTATTGCTATTTCCAAAGTTCACCCTAAGCAGTCCGATGTCGCTCAGCCAATATACGCCTTTCAAAGAAATATACCTTATTGTTGAGAAGCCTAGTCACACTTTGTAGTGCCCGTGGTGGCACAAGTTGGTGACGTCAGGCTGCGCCGCGCTGCACCGCGGGACACAAAAACATACCCGCTTTATTTGGTAGAAATGAAACTATACTGCATTGCATTGCTATACCCACCGCGGCTTGCAGCAGTTTTGTTTTAAAGAAAATAGAAAACAAAGGAAATAAAACCACCACTGATCCAGAAAATATCGCAAATATTTGCTCTCGTGACGACGAACCCATGCTTCAACCAGAAAATAGTACTCCAACTTCAATTAAACTACTTGTTCTCGCTATTTAGATTTTGACGCTTTTTAATGTTAACAATTTAGTTAATAATGTACCTATTTTAATATATAGTTATTTAACCTCGCGCAAAGTACGTATCGTTATACTGTACTGTGTACTTCTTATTGTTGGAATTTCCAACAGTTAAAAACAAATTAGTCGTATTGATCGTAATCACTTTTTTTTAGTATTAATCTAAGAGTTTATTTACGTATTGTATAAAACAAATTGAATAAATAATACATAAAAGTGATGTTTTCAATGACGCATAATTAATTAGTAAATCCTGAAGTTTGTTAAATGCATTTAAAATATAGCGAATAAAAGTATTGGTTTTAACTTTACTACTCTTTTCTACTTCTCTTTTATAGTTGAAAATAATAGAATTAGTTGTTAATTGATCCTATCAACTAACGATCGAATCATTGCACGATTTACCTAATACTTTCACTATTTATGCTAATACGATTTTGACCCTAAAATGTTATGTAATGTTTATTTTTACGATGTTTTATTCTCGAATGTCTATGAGGGAACAACAACGTAGGTATAGATTGCAAAAAACCACTTATGACTCTTCTGTATTCTAATTTACAACTTATCTTTATTTGACTTTATGTAAGTACAAGCGAGTGGTCGATAGATGGCGTATGAAATTGTTACTACTGCTTAGAGGGCAAATCGTCAAAGTCATCCGCGACTGTTCAAGCCTTAAAATAGCATTTCCAGCAGCTATTCCTGAATTTTATTTCATGGTCATCAATAACACGATCCTCGAAGTTCAAACAAATATTATCAATTATCTCTTTCCTTGAACCGTTCGAGATTCTTTATTATACCTAGTTCCAAAAGTATGGAAACATTAATTCAAGTAATAATATTTATGGGATTTATATTCTATGATGTATCTGACGGGCCGCAGAGGTTGAGTGTGTGAAAGAGAGAGAGAAATTATTACCTTAAATTATTATCATCACCATCCATAGCTCGAGTTGACACATTGCTGTGTGTAGATCTCGTTTTATTTATGCCATCAACCAAGATCCTGTATTAATCTCACCCATGTCATAATGTCGTCTACTCATCCCGCATCAGAATATCTTGTATTTCTGTAACCGCTTCTTGGCCAGCCTTCGGTTGTCGCGTTACTCCATCAGCCATCAGCCCCCATTAAGAATTTATCTTGATAAAAAAGCAATATGTTAAAAAATATATTTAACTGAAAGCCTTCAATTAAAGCTCGTGAAAGTTTTTTGAAACTATTTTTTCGCATTTAAATCACGTATATTTGCTTTTTGAACAAAACAAACTTTTCGGGCCTCTGCTGACGAAACGTTGGTTTGTTTGAAAAAACAAATACGCGAATTAGATCCGAAAACATAGTTTTATTTCCGACATGTAACAATCGCAAAAATCTGTGAACTTGACATGAGCTGTCAAGATGTCGCCCTAACAACAGTGCGACTAAAAAAATATGAGAAATCGACGTGTTTTTTCTTGGGAATCCAAAAAGTGGTACAGCCAACATCATGCGCACCTTAAACTTACTATCGTTATACCAAATAGTTCAATTTAAATCCGAATTAAAGCTTTTGCCTTCAGGGTAAAATATTCTACATTTTTTCACCGACTTATAAAAAGGAGGTTCTCAATTCGACTGTATTTTGTCTGTGTATGTTATGCGATTACTTCAGCATTTGTAAACCGATTTTGATGATCCTTGTTTTTTTTTGTTGGAAAGAGTGTAGTACCTCATTTTTAATCCCATTTCAAACGCTCAACTCACACTGGCGCAGAGTCGAAACATCGCGTCGCGTCCTGTTTTTCAACTACAACGCCTGGCAACGCGCGTCGACACTCGCTTTAGTGTAG